CACCACAGCATGAGCCCCGTTAAACATCGATGGACGCCTGAGCTTTACTAGGAGAAAAGTCAGAACTGTTAAATATTGTTATCAGATACTATCATTTTTGCAGTGTTCTATCTTGCAACTGTGCTCTATACCTTATAAACTCTGTACTGTACAAATTATCATGGACCTAATCAAAAACAAGTTCTGAGGGGCGCCTGGGTGGCTCAGTGGGTTAAAGCCTCTGCCTTCAGCTCAGGTCATGATCCCAGGGTCCTGGGATCGAGCATTGCAACCGGCTCTCTGCTCAGCAGGGAGCCTGCTTCCTCCTCTGCCAGCCTCTCTGCCTACTTGTGATCTGTCAAATAAATAAATAAAATATTAAAAAAACAAACAAGTCTTGACATGCAGGTTAAAATATAATCAAAGGACACTATTAATCTATTCATCCTACAAAATACTTGTTAGTCTTATCTAGCAATTACAAGACAATGTGGTGAACTCTGTTAAAAATGAGTTTTGAAGTGAGAAAACACTAAACAAGGAAAAATTATGTATTAGTATACTTTTCTATTAAAGACAAATATTTTTAAAAAACGATTCAAGCCATATAGAACATTCCCTTTAATACTGGGCACTAGGTTTTAAGTGCTAGCTAGCTAGAGAGATTTACTGAATAATTTCTACAAAATTATTTAAAGAAAATGGTATAGACAACTGAAGCAAATGTTATTTGTATATTAAGCTGACTAAACCAATGTAAGATTAAATCCTCCATATAAATAATATCAGTAATGATAAAACGTAACTTAATGACATAGGAAATCCAATTAATAATGGTCATTGATAAAGCCCCTCTTAGATTTTCCAAGAACATTTTTATTAGCACCTAGGACATATAAAATCCTTATGTCATTTAAGTATTATTCAATTATTATTAGTTTAGAACACAGCTCTAATAATCTGCACAAAAACTGAATCTCCCCACTAGCCCACTTAGTCTAAAATGCTCCTTCCTCAAGATTCTTTACTTTGATCTGTCAGAAATTTGACATAATATACTGATTTTGTTAGAACAAGGCACTTTACTGCCATCTGCTGGAAAAACTGTCATAATATACAGATCTATAATGTGACTATATTCCCCAACATGTAGCACTGTTGCACACTGCACAGCCTGCAAAGCCTGCATGTAATGGCCCTGCCCATATTACTCTTAATGATCCAGACACTAATAGTATGGACATTAATCTTCCTGTCAAACTTTAAAAGTCCCCAATCTAAAAACCATAAATTACTATCCAGCTCAAGTCCTGATCATTAATAAGTATTTACATTCAAAACAGTTTATATCTAGAATGTGTATGTCAGCAGGATAGTTAACAAGGATATAAAGGTTTTTTAAGGGTAATAATGACCCAACTTCAGTTTTAAGAGTCTTAAAATCTCCCCAAAAACGTACTTATATTTTAACTTACATTTCAAAGTTAAAAATAAATCTTACACTGTTGGTGGGAATGCAAGTTGGTGCAGCCACTTTGGAAAACAGTGTGGAGATTTCTTAAGAAATTAAATATAGAGCTACCCTATGACCCTGCAATTGCACTACTGGGTATTTACCCCAAAGATACTGATGTAGTGAAAAGAAGGGCCATATGTACCCCAATGTTCATAGCAGCAATGATCACAGTCGCCAAACTGTGGAAAGAACCAAGATGCCCTTCAACGGATAAATGGATAAAGAAGATATGGTCCATATATACTATGGAGTATTATGCCTCCATCAGAAAGGATGAATATCCAACTTTTGTATCAACATGGACAGGACTGGAAGAAATTATGCTGAGTGAAATAAGTCAAGCAGAGAGAGTCAATTATCATACGGTTTCGTTTACTTGTGGAGCATAAGGAATAAGATGGAGGATATGGAGAGATGGAGAGAAGTGAGTTGGGGGAAATTGGAGGGGGAGACAAACCATGAGAGACTGTGGATTCCAAACTGAGGGTTTTGGAGGGGTGGGGGTGGGAGGTTGGGTGAGCCTGGTGGTGGGTATTGTGGAGGGCACATATTGCATGGAGCACTGGGTGTGGTGCATAAACAATGAATTCTGGAACACTGAAAAGAAATTAAAAAAAAAAAAAAATTGCACAGGGATGCCTGGGTGGGTCAGTCAGTTAAGCGTCCGAATCTTGATTTCAGCTTAGGTCATGAATGATCTTAGGGTGGTAGGATGCAGCCCCAGCTTGGGCTCAGCACTGGGGTGTGGATTGAGATTATTTCTCTTCCTCTGCCCCTCCCCAACCCCCCTCACTCTCACACTCTCAAAAAACAAACAAATAAACAAATAAACCCGCATGTTTCCTTAGAATTAGTGTTACCAGGTTAAGAAGGCATTCTAGTCAATAACAAAGTACTGGTACCTATTTTATAAAACATCTTAATACTTTTGTTATATAACAACACTCAAGATATCCTCTTATATACCAAATCAACATCACAATTCTTATATATTCAAATTCTCGGAAATGTGAAAATCAACCAAACATGGCCACATCTCTTCCAATTGCCCAAAATGGCTCTTAAAAGTTAAACTAACTAAAAGAATCAAAAGAAAAGAGCAAGAGAAAAGTTTTAGCAAAGATAGTTGGTATGCCATCTTTCTATCCTCTGGTACAGGCAGAAGGAAGCCTTTCTTCATAAGGTGTTCATTTTAGGTAAATTTGAAAATTTCAGTAATTTACTTCCCTGCTTATTTATAAACTCTGCCATTTGTTTTGGTCTAATTTTAATCATACAAGAATAACCATATAACCTTGGTTTTCCAGAGGCAGTTCTGATGTATGGCTGTTTTGCCCAACATAATGACTGTTAGTGCTCCTTTTCCATTTCAAAATGTCCCATTTTATACATTTTAACCACAACCCAATATTGCTGCTGACTGTTAACAATTATAATTTTGTGATCTGAAATTTGGACTCTGTATGCATGGCCTAGCAATAACTGACATGAAAAGCAAAAGTTGTAAAAAAAGTTATCACAGAAAGACTACATAAATTGTGACATATAACCATTTATCCATTTTAAATGACTCAGGCTTTACAAAGAGATAAATTAGAAATATGCAATTACATTTTTGGAGCTCATTCCAATTTATCACCCACCTTTGACTATAAGTACAAATAAATGTTTTATGCGTATTTTCTCCTTCAAGAGTTTCTATCTTGTTTTTGGATGTATCCATTAAGTCCATAAATTATGTAGCATCTCCACCCTTCTTTCTGTATGAAATAATCATACAGGATTTAAAAAGTACTATATTACCACAAAAGGACTGTTTAACATTGTCTTTGTGGTTTTGATACCATGATATATTAACAAAAGCAAAGTTTAGAGCAATTTTCCAATGTAACATTCTACAACACTGCTTTTTTTTTAAATTTATTGAGCCTATTTATTGAGCGAATACACCTGATTTCTTCAAAAGAAAGGAAAATGTCTGGATATACCAATTAGTCCTACTGCAGTTTGAGGAAAAGTATTAGCTCACAGTCATTCAACAATATCCCTTAATATATGCAAACCCTGTTTAAATATTAAATTTATTGATTTCACAAGGATATCCCAATTAAGAGTCCATTTTAGTTTCTTACTAGAAGTAATGAAATTCAAGGGCTTTTACAAGGTGGCAGCCATAAAAAGGACATATGTTTTATACTTCTTAAAAAAATTTTACAGTCCTCAGCTATATACGGTTTGCCTGTAACATGACTTGTTAAGAGTGTGATCCTTATGCATTTCTGTTGCAGACTAACATAAATGAAGGTAGGGGAACCAAAATGTTTCAAAAACCAAATCTATTTTCATTTTTAAGAAACAATAACCTTTTTTTCCTCACAAAAAAAATTAGTTTACTGCTTTGAAATTTCAAGTTCTATCATTTTTATATATAAACACAACTGGATATGATATTTAAAAAAAACACATACACATAGATATATAGAGCTGTAATAAACAAATTCCTTTTATAAACAAAATTTTAACTGAAAAGCCACAGTAGACAGAAAAAAAGAAGAAAGGATATTACTTGGTAAAATCCAGTGACATCTACAATAGTTTTACAGCACATTTAAGCATTCTAGGGTTTTATATCTTCACCTGCCTTCCATTTCTTACTTGCTCCTTAAAAAATTGCCAATTACGAATCCAGGTTCGACTTCAAACTAAGTCCCTATTGTGAGTGCCAGAAAAAGGAAAACACTCCAAATTTCCATTTTAATAGAGCTTCAATTCAAAAATGGTTTTATTTAAAACACAATGCCCACCCAAATGGAGGAAAAAAAAAAAAAAGAAAACTAAGCAGCAATACTTAATTACACATAACATTCATTATATGGGAAATGTTTTTTAGGATGGTATCTAGAATGCACTTGCTCTGTCTCTTTAATAATTAATGGACTTAGAAGGACACTACCAAAAGTAAGATTACTGTCTAACGGGCACACACTTACAGTACTGCTAGCCTTAAAAGCAGTAAAGCAAAAGAAAACATATCAAATAGCACATGCACATCTTACAGAATTTCCACTGAACTATCAATGGCTTCTATACAATGTGCCTCTTTTCCGTAATTGTATTAACAGCTACCAAGAAAGGAAAAATGAGATTAAAATCAATGGTACTGAACTGAATTGTTTGAAGCCAGTGCCCCAAATGTGGGGAAAAGTGCATTTAGTTCAGCAGCAATAGAGCACAGTGTGAAGATATTGTGCTTAGACGCAGATATTCCAGAACTGAGAGATGTACAAGGCAAGTCAAGATATAAAACCATAGTACACTGTTAAATAACCTTGAAACATACATATATTGCAGTGTTCAAAGAAAAACATTCATTTCATTGTACAAGGCTAGGGAGAAATCCTTAAAGTTACCTATTGTAGTTTATGATATAATAAATACATATCTATATAGCATTGTATATACATATATAGAATGTGTGTGTGTTTATGTGGGTTTTTTTTTTTTCTTTTTGCCAAATTATTGTTAGTTTTTGTCATTCTGCAACTTTCCGGAGTGAAAACTCTTCCATACTATAAGTTTCTGTTTCCCCAAACTTAAGAAAAGATATTTATACTAGAAAAGATCTCAATACCCTCCCCCAACCTAAAGACTCACTTCATGTATTTTGCTTTACAACTGATCAGAGAAACACAATTAAAAGAATTCTAGAATTTTTGACTGTATCTTTTCACTTGCCAGTTGTTTCAATAAGCAAATATCTTTTAATATTTAAACCAGCTGATGCAAATTCTTTAGCAGAGGATATAAACTAGATTTCACTGATTAAAACAGAGCAAATCAAACAAACAAACAAAAAAAATCCAGTGATTTACTCTGACTGTAAACAATATATAAAATTTAAATCTCAAATTTCAAAATAAGTTAAAGAAAAATTCTACCTTTAGGGCCTATAATACTACAATGATCTGACAACTGGTAAGGGGAAAATGTATATAAAAAGTTGCAACAAAATTGTCCATTATTTTTGCTAAGAGAAAGTATATCTAACTATACTACCTCTGGCCCTTAAATTTAATAACTTCATAATTTGTTGGCAAATGTTTTTAGCAAACTGGCGTATCATATTACACAACAGAAAAACATCCATCAAGTTCAGCAAAGAAAACTTATATAAGCTTTTTGTACAGAATTAAAAAAAATCTAAATGGCTATGATTCCTCTATTAGCAGAAACACATAATGCAGTCTTTATAAATCTGCCAAATATATCAATATCTACATAAATAGATACAGATATAGATATGAAACATTAATGGCAGTCTATTTTTGAACAGTGTGTGGGACCAGCAGATTTGTATCAGACCATGGCACGATATGGACCCTGCATCTTTAGGAACTGAATGATAAAAGAAGGACCCCCAGCAACAATCTGAGGTGGAAGGTGACTGAGTGGACAGTTCTCAATACTCATGATTGAAAGCTTGCTGCAAAGAGCCAGCTCAAAGGGAAGGCTATGTAGATTGGGGTTGTCATTCAAATATAGTTCTTCTAGGTTCTCCAGTGTACCTGTTTAAAAAAAATCAAATCAATTACTATTTTTTTAAAAAATCAGTTACTATTTTAGAATTTCAGTTGGGCAGGAAACTATCCTGGGCATTATATATACTGAATACACACTGACTCTTATTCTCTTCCCTTCGTTTTAAAACTCTACAACCGTGGATCTCCCAATTTTATTGCATATTCAAATCAAGTGGGGCTGATCTAAAGAACTCTGATGTCCAGGTCATGTTCCATACCATTTAAATTGGAATTTCTTCCTTTACGGTCAGTTTTCAAGTTTCAGGGTTTTTTTAAATACACATGCTACATGTCTAAAGATTTTGTTTGGGACAGCTTGGCATTGGTATGTATTTTTTCGAAACTCCAGAAGTAAGTTTATTGTAAACTGGTGCCTACAATCACTTTCCTGTTATAAACAATGTGATGATCTCTTTTTTAAATAAATTTCTCATATGCAAAGATTTTTGTTACTTCGTATAAATCTTTCACTGAGAGAGTTATCACTATTTGGCAATAAGCCAAAACTCAACTTACGTAATCATCTTAAAAAATTATCTTAGACTGTCTAAGGATATTCACACTTTCTAGGCAATGTCTCCTGCAACCAAATGAGGCCAGATGAATAAACATACTAGAAATGAAGGTGGCTTCCATGTTTTCTAATTTTTAAACTTCAAAATTTGTGATACTTGATACTGGTATGCAGAAGACTAATGAAAATAATGGCTATCAGGTAATGGATGTTTACATTTAAGATTTTAACTATGAGAAGTTACTATTATTATTCTTACTTTACACAAGTAGAAAACTTGAAGCTTAGGGAGTTTCCATATGTTACCCAAAGCCATTAAGCCAATAAGCAGCATGGCCAGATTTTGAATTATATATCTTACCCCAAAACCGTTTTTTTAAATTAAAGTATAACTTACATTATAACTCTAAACCCATTCTTAACCACTAATATAAAGGATCTCTGAAACAGCATGATCTAGATGGAAGAACATAATATATGGAATTACTAATTTAAGAACTATAATGTAATCTCAATTGGTAATTCTCTTTGTAAAATGGGGTTACAACTTGCACCGACTAAAATTCAAGGTAGTCACATTGATTATATGAAACACTGAAAACATTTCAAGATACTGTTAAATAGTAATTTAATCAAATAGTAAAATTAATCCTAAAACCTCAAGAAGAAATGTTCTTTTGGCATAAGACATTACTAGTTTAATTCAAGCTTGTGTAATTTTTAAACTGAAGAAATATAAAATAACTCCTCTAAAATAAGGTTAAACATATTGGAAATGGAAGTAGGTCAAAATATTCTCAAAGCAATATTAACTCTAACATCCCATGAGGAAACCTAACCAAAACCAACCATCTGACCAACAAAATACTTGGAGCTCTATTTAAAAGAGAGAAAGAGAATCTTGACCCTGAGGTAACATCAGGTGACAAAAACAGATTTGTCCTATTTATCTGAAATACTGCTTGAACACACAAGAGCTAATTAGTACAGAGTCAAGCATCCAAATGGTTCATACCAATTTCTTCAGGAAGATGAGTGAGTAGGTTCTCTCCAAGGCCTAGATGTGTGAGATTGGTAAGGTGACCAATGCCTCTGGGAAGGGTGGTCAACTGGTTATTTGTCAAGACTAATTTCTAAAAGATTAACAAAATAAAAGATAGTTACACATGGATTTCCTACTACTGATATAAATTTAAAATAATATATCTACTAAGCTGATAAGATAAATTAATAGGTAGATTAGGTAAGAATCACTCAATAAATTTTACTTTCAAAGTATATAATTTGTTAGCAAGTGAAAAGCAAACATAAAACTCAGCTCTAATGCTATAATAAAAAATCTCTAATTAAAGAATTATATCAAATTCTTAAGAAAAATGTGCAGTTTGGAATGTACCCCCAAAACTTTAGTCATATAACTATAAAATCACCAGGATAATGTTTTACCTGTAAATCCTTAAGGTAAGCAATTTCATTTGGCAAGGATTCCAATTTGTTCTCCTCTAGATCCAATTCTCTTAACTTCCTAAGGTTTCCAAGACCATGGGGAAGCTTCTTTAGAAGATTGTTTGATAATATTAGAACCTAAGAGAAATTATTGATAGTGTTTGGTAATTCATGAAATGGAATTATATACTACCACTGGGTGGCTTAAACTTTATTAAACTGCTAATTTTCCAAAGAGTGAATATATATATTTTTAAGATGTTATTTATTTATTTGACAGAGAGAGAGATATCCTAAGTAGGCAGAGAGGCAGGCAGAGAGAGGAGGAGAAGCAGGCTTCCCTGCTGAGCAGAGAGCCTGATGCGGGGTTGGATCCCAGGACCCTGAGATCATGACCCGAGCTGAAGGCAGAGGCCTAACCCACTGAGCCACCCAGGCACCCCCCAAAGAGTGAATATTAAGAGCAATGTTCACTATGTAACATAAAACATTCAACTTACTATTCTTTAAAAAATCACCATAGCTATTGGAAATAAAAGATTTAACTGAAGTCGAAACTAATGAAAGCAAAAGTTTAATTTTACCCATAACAAATAAAATGTAAAATTAACTACTTGCATTAAAATTCATATAGTTAATGGTATTTTGATATTGAGTGGTTACCAATGTGTATCTGATAGGAAACCACTTATTTATTCAAAACCCCTTACAAACCATCACTTTTAGGGAGATAATGATTTCTAAACTGCCTATTTTAATACACAATAGTTATTATTTATGGTATATTTATTATATTGCAAGCCATCCTCTAATATACTGAAGAGGGGAAAAAAGTAGTTGAGAAAGATAGTCCCTGTTCCCAGAGAAATTACAGTGGTGGTGGCGGTATTAGGAAGATAACACTGAGTATGGGGATAGTGGAAAAGAACACTGAATGGAAAGACCTACATAAGATTCTGGTTGATGTTTTATGCCCACTTTTTTCCCTGCAAAGTAATACCACCTATAATAAAGTAAACATACATAATAAGACCAGAAAAACCCAGTAGCTATTGAGTTTACTACTTGCAAGGCACTAAATGCATTGTCTGTATTTTCACATTAGTCCTAACTCCAATCTTCTGAGGAAAATACTATCATCTTCATTTCACAGCTGAGGAAACTGAAGGTTGGTGGAGTTAAATCCATAAATAGAGATAAAAGTGGAATTGTACCCAGATCTGTCTTCGTTCAGAATTCATGCTTTTAACCACTACACATACTATTTGACCTTACTAAATAAAATAATTTAAAAAAGAAATTCGATTTTAAGAAAACATAGATACAGAGGAAACTTTTAAAAACATATATTTAGGTTGCCTGGGTGGCTCAGTTGGGTTAAGTGACTGCCTTTGGCTCAGGTCATGATCCCAGAGTCCTGGGATCAAGTCCCGTATCAGGCTCCCAGCTCTGTCGGGAGTCTGCTTCTCCCTCTGACCCTCTCTGCTCTCATGTTCTCTCTCACTCTTTCTCTCTCTCAAATAAATAAATAAAATCTTATAAAAAAACAAACAAACAAACAAACATAAAAATATATATTATTAGTAAGCTTTTTTATAAAAAGGACAAACATTCCAGGGACTCAGAAGCTGGAGAATTCAGGGGACAGTAAGATGGATCTTTAATTACGGAAAATAATTTAAAAAGAAAAAAAGGGATGAGAAGAGGATACTGTAGATACTGAGAATAATAAGACTAAATGTAGAGCGGTGCCTGGGTGGCTCAGTCGGTTGAGCATAGGCCTTGGCTCAAGTCATAATCCCAGCATCCTGGGATGGAACCCTACATCAGGCTCCCTGCCCAGTGGGAAGCTTACTTCTCCTTCTCCCTCTGCCTGCTGCTGCTCCCCCTGCTTGTGCTCCCTTCTCCCTCTCTGCCAAATAAATAAAATCTTAAAACAAAAGATTAAACGTATACAGAGCTAGAAACATGCACAAATTGCCAACAAAGAAAATATCTAATTGGTTAAATAAGAGCGTACTAGGTAATTAGGATGTAAAAGTGGGCCAGAATCATACGAAAGGTCCTCATTGCCAGTCTAAGGACTCCATAATCATTCTGGTAGACATTAGTGCAAGATTCCTAAATAGAGTTAAGGGAAAAACTATGTTCTAAAAGATGCTAAATTTTAAAGACATTTCTTTTAAAGACAGTTTATAGCACTCAAACCTACCAACTTTTAGTGGACAAGAGTAATTCAGAAGCACTGAGCCCAGATTAAGTTAATACCTCATCATCCTAACACAGTTTTATGTTTAAGAGAGCTCTAACATTTCTAATTATGATCTTCCTCCAGTAGAAATTGCTTATTTTAACTGGAAACTTTATAAGCAAGATGAATGCAGAAGGATCTAAGGAGTTCTTTTATACTCACCTCAAGAGAAACAAGACCAGACACATCCTCAGGAATCTTTGTGAGCTGATTGGTGGCTAAATTCAATTCTACCATACTGGTCCAAGTTCCAAAATCCAAGGGAAGTGATGTCAACTGATTGTCCTGGCAAAGACAAAAAGAATTAACCGAAGTAGAATGATAAAAACAAAAAGCTCCATATACATATACCTCTCTTTGGAAAGAAAATTCTTAATTAAACAAAAAACCCAATTCCCCTTTTTGATACCCAAATAAAAAATGAAAAAGCAATGAAAAATCTAAGCCTCCAAAGTAGTTTAACCTTTTTATTTTGAAGTTAAATTAGAAGTTTGTTCCTTATGTGACTATCTGTATTGGATACAGAAAAATATACTATATAGACCAACAATTGAGATTTCAAAGGTCCCAGTGAAAAATAGGTTTTTCCCATTTCACAATAATATACAGAAATCATGGAAAAATGTGGATGCTCATGAGCACAATGGAAGAAGAAATATGGAATTATAGCCCATGAGGAAATCAGATAAACAGCAATTCTAGAGACACTGAGCAATAAAGGAGGAGAGGAAAAAAATCTTAAGAAGATAGCAAATTAAATCATTAAAACACTAACTGATAGTATCCCCGATTTTATTTTAAAAATCCGTAAGAGGGGCGCCTGGGTGGCTCAGTGGGTTAGAGCCTCTGCCTTCGGCTCAGGTCATGATCCCGGGGTCCTGGGATCGAGCCCCGCATCGGGCTCTCTGCTCCGCGGAGAGCCTGCTTCCTCCTCTCTCTCCCTCCCTGCCTCTCTTGCCTACTTGTGACCTCTGTCAAATAAATAAATACAATCTTTGAAAAAAAATAAAAAATAAAAATAAAAATCCGTAAGATATGGCAAAAATACATTTCTCATTGAATAATAAAAACAGATGAAACAATATGATCCAATTTTGTTTAAAAATTAAATACAGCTACATGCAGAAAAAATTGTGAACTATATACCAGTGATTGACTATTTTTCTTCCTGCTTCCTCAAATCTACATATAAAATACATTTTCATCAATAACAACTCTTACCACAGTGTATTTGTTGGGAGCTATTTGTATCAAGAGAGTACCATCAGTACCCCTGATGCATGCCAATGTGTTAACAGTGATGCTACCTCAAGTGGTAGGATTATTTTATGTCCTTTTTGTTAATTTGTATTTTAAATTTTTCTGCAATACACATGAATTACTTGTCTCATTTTACACAAAATAATTGGTAAGATTAATTCCAAGTAGCAAACATCCATTTGAAAACCAAGTTTTTCTTTTATTATAATATTTACATTTACTACCTATTCATTATAACACAAACTTATTAACTACTGGTAGCTTGATAAAGCATTTTCATTAAAAAAAATTTACTACTGGTGTTTATGAGGAGGAAAACATCAGGTTTCATTTTGACTTCTTTCAAAAAAAAATTTATTAAACAGCTGTCATGCTATTGAAGAAAAATTAAGGCAAAGCTCTAGGCAAAGTATGATTTTACTGAAAACAAGCCTTTCCAAGCTAATGTTAAAGTAACATCATATCCATAAAAATGTATCACCAAATGCAAAAAACTAATGAACACCTGGACGACTGTGTTCCAAGACTCTTATTACAAAGAGAACATTCAGAATAAATACGATTACCACTACTAAATCTCATATAACTGAAATGATGAACAGTAATTTTATAACTGTTTAAGATTATGTTAGATTATCTTGAATTCCCACTAGTTCACTTACTACATACCTCTAAAGAATTATCATAAAAGATACATATATTTACAAGTATACATAGAATCAATAAATTCTACATTTAGACTATAGTTCATAAAGACCTAGAATTATGTTGAAGCAGTTCATCAAAGATAAAAGCCTGTAGTATAATACAATGGAACACTTATACCTGGAAGCAGGAAATCTATGTCCCCTGGATTCCTACACCTCAGCGACAAATTAGCTATACGGGCAATTTACTTTTTACTTCTGGGCCTAAAGTTTGTTCACTATAAACAAAATCATTGGAAAAAATCAGGTTTCATTTCTTTCTTCCTTTTTCCTTATTACAAATGTGAAACTCATTCACTATAGAGAATACAGATATGCAAGAAGAAACTAAAGATCGCCCATCAGAAGAAAACATTTGCAAATTATATATCTGATAAGGGGTCAATATCCAAAATATATGAAGAACTCCTTTAACTCAACAGCAAATACTATGCAGCCATCAAAAAACCCTGAAATCTTGCCATTTGCAACAATGTGGATAGAACTAGAGGGCATTAAGCTAAGTGAAATAAGTCAATCAGAGGAAGACAATTATCATATGCTCTCTCTGATATGAGGAATTTGAGAGGCAGGGTGGGGAGTTGTGGGGGGAAGGGAGGGAAAAAAATGAAACGAGATGGGACTGGGGAGGGAGACAAACCATAAGAGACTCAATCTCAGGAAACAAACTGAGGGTTGCTGAGTGGGGTAGGGGTAGGGATAAGGTGGTTGGGTTATGGACATTGGGGAAGGTTTGTGCTGAGTGCTGTGAATTGTGTTAAGACTGATGATTCACAGAGCTGTACCCCTGAAGCAAATACATTATATGTTAATAAAATAAAAAATGGGCAGAGGATGCAAACAGACATTTTCCCAAAGATGACATACAGATAAATGGCCAAAAAGCACATGAAAAGATGCTTAATAACATCACTATCATCAAGGAAATGCAAATCAAAACCACAATGAGCTATCACCTCATACCTGTCAGAATGGCTGTTCTCTAAAAGACAAGAAATAACAAGTGCTGGTGAAGATACTAAAAAAAATAGGGGGGACCTCTGTGCACTGTTGGTGGGAATGTAAATGGGTGCAGCCACTATAGAAAACAGTATAAAGGTTCCTCAAAATATTAAAAACAGAACTAGCATACAATTCAGCAATCCCACTCCTTGGCATTTATCTGAAGAAAATGAAAACACTAACTAAAAAACATATATGCACCCCCATGTTCATCGCAGCATTATTTAAAACAGCCAAGATATGGAAGCAACCTAAGTGTTCATGGATGAATGAAGAGATAAAGAAATTTCAGTACACACACACACACACACACACGACAGCATTAAGCCATAAAAAAGAATGACATCTTGTTTGTGACAATGTGAATGGACTATCAGAGCAGCATGCTCAATGAAATAAGTCAGATGGAGAAAGACAAATACCTCTTATATATGGAATCAAAACAAACACCAACGTCAAAGATTAAAAGAAAAGATTGATGGTTGCCAGAGGTAAAGGTTAGGAGGTGGCAAACTGGGTAAAGGGAATCCAATGGTATAAACTTTCCAGATATTAAATAAGTCAGTCATGGGGATATAAGATACAGCATGGCAACCATAGTTAATAATATTGTATTACATATCTAAAAGTTGTTAGGAGAGTAAATCTTAAATTGTCATCACAAGAAAAAATATTCTGTAACTACGTATGGTGATGGATATTAACTAGACTTAGTGAGGTGATCATTTTCCAATATACAAATATTGAATATTATGTTGTACAACTAAAACTAATATAATGTTATATCAATTATTCCTCAATAAAAAAGATCATCCTTAAAATAATTACGGTATTTAAAGATAAACATATTTTAATAAATTTTGGCTATATACACCTATAAATCTATAGATACTTAATATGTTTAAGCGCATTAAGAACAGTTTTTAAAAACTGTGTGGATGCTTTAACAATCTTGCCTGCTTTAACTTTTTCCTACTAAATAGAGAATGCTTCAACTGGTATTAATATTTCTTCTAACCTTGAGTATTATTTTTAATGACTTCATAGTATTAACAGTTAATCAAAGATACACTATTAAAAAATGAAACCTTTGTTAGGTTGGTACCAATTAAATAGAAAATTATACAGTAAATATCCCTACAACTATGCTTTCATGGACATTTATGATTATTTCTTTAGGATAAAGTGCTAAGAGTATGCATGGCTCTAAGATATTTGTTATCTAATACAAATTGTCCTGTTGTATCACTATTAGTTTAGACTCCATCAGCAAGTAACAAGTGTTCTCCATACTAATAAAGAAAACACAAATATTAGTATAAGTACTAATAATAGCAGCTTTTCTCCCCCTCAAAACAAAGAGAGGCTTACCTTCATATTCAGCTTACTTAATACTTTTGCTCTGGAGAAAATTCCAAATGGGATTTTGTTGATTCGATTGTGTTCCATGTTCAGGGAATAGATGGTGGAAAACTGAGATGGACCACCTACTGGGTATAACTGGAAGCAATTTCTAGCTAAGGTCAAACTATTCAGTTTCACAAGACTTGATAAAAGACTCTGTAAACAAAATAAACATACGAATTAGAATTGTAACAAGATTATTCCATAGAATACAGAGCAGCAGTCACAAATGCCTCGAAGGGCCTTCAGGTAACAAGTGACAGAGACTCATTGTTGGGCTAGCTCTGTGATACCTTACAGGGAGGACAGAACTACTCAGCTCTAGCTAACTATTGCCTTACAGGACTATGGAACAAACAGATTTCCAGATTTTACAGGAAACAGAAAAACTCATATAAAATCTGATTTTTATTCCTTGGCTTTAGCTTATATAGAACACTATAAAGAAGGGGGACCTGGGTGGCTTAGTCAGTTAAATGTCTCTTTTGATTTCGGCTCAGATCATGATTTCAGGGTCATGAGACTGAACCATGCTGACTGTGGAGCCTGCTTGGGATTCTCTCTCTCTCTCCTTCTGCCCCTCCCTCATTTCCCCCCTCTAAAAAACAAAGCACCAAAAAAAACCACTCTATAAAGAAAATATGTCTGAGGGTTAAGAGGTATCTTGAGTGGCCAGTTTGAGAACCTTATAAAGCAGAATCTTTGGCATCACACAGTCCTGAGTCTGAGTCCTGGCTCTGCCACTTGCTATGTGACCAACCCTATTCAGGTCCGAGTTAATTATCCTCTAAATTATTATTAAGATTAACATAATACTGATTCAGAGTAAGTTGTGATTCAGTAATTTAATGGCTCCTTTAAAGAATATTAAATTCAGAAGATAATAACACTTCCTGATATTATGTAATAGTGTTTTTCCATATGGTAAGATTTCAGAAGGAAATATGCATCTATCAAACAAGTATTTCGTACAGATACTACCCCCATATCCCTTCACTTCAGCCTCCCACCATGTAACCACAGTGCTAGAGTTTAGGTATTACAAAAGAAACTCTGCCATTAAAATGACTAAAACCTATTTAGAGAAATAAAGCACAAAGATGAGAAAAAGAAAACAACACATAACTGTATATAATCAATAATAAATTATATGTAATATAATTATATTATCTTGCTTTTCTAAGTCTGCTTGAAGGAAGAACATCAGCTTGTCAGAAATGTAGACCTTAGTGTCCTATTCCTACTGAATTGATATGAATCTTAACAAGATTCCCAAGTGAATTGTATGCACACTAATGTGTGAGAAACACTGGTATAGGCTATAAAACAACTCTGAATCCTAGCTATATTTTTCAGTGGCTTGTGACTTTGGGCAAACTATTTCTCCAAACCTTAATCTGTTCATTTGTAAAATGATGATGCCTTGTTTTGTTGAACTGTAGTGAAGACATTTTAAAGAGATAAAATACATAAATAGCTTTACAATCTCTAGGATATAATAAGTGCTTAAATTTTAAGTCCCTTCTCTAAATTTAAAGAAAAGAAGAAATACTAGAGTAACTGGAAAAGCAGGAAGGAGACTGAGAGTGAGCTAGATCTTGAAGGATGAAAAAAAATTTAAATATTCGGAGAAGTAGTAGAAACATTCTGGATTGAAGTAAAGACCCAATCAGAGAGGAAACAAGCTGTGTGAGGTATGTATGTGTGTATATTTTAAATAACGTTCAAATATCAGCTGTATAGCAGGAGGAAACTGAAGACTTAGTACTTGAGGTGTCAGTTGATTCGTAGGACCAGCTGAAAGAATGAAATAACTATGTAATTGAAGGTATAATTATATGGTGAACTGAAACTTGTTCTTTATGCTGAATGTTAAGAAGCTTTCAACATTTGCCTACTGATGTACACAGATAAAAGGAAAAGCTCAGGTAAGAGTGCTGAGAACACTTTGCATGGCAGTCAATTCTGGAAAAATGCCTACATCCTACTTTACTGAAAGTACATGAAATTCTGAGTCTCATGGTAAAAATTTTTTTTATTATTCTTACATGTAGCTAACTTTACTGACATTCTTTGAAAAAAACTGCAGAAATCTGAAAAGAGGCAACAACAAGGCAACTCTCCAACCTTTCACTCTTAGGGCATATAATGAAGCTATGAAGTTGCTTATCAATTCCTTAAAGTCAGACACATCTGGATGCCCATCCTAGGTCTTCCACTTACCAGTTACATGGCCTTTGGTGAATTAGACAATCAGTATATTTCTTACAGTACTCTCAGGAAAATAAGATACAAATCTGGCTAAAAACATAACTTATCTTAAGTCTTATTACCCTTCCTATTTGATAATACCCCAATAATTAATACAATTATAGTGAAGATTCAAATGGGATAATCCATGTAGAATCCCTAGCCTTACACCTTGAGCATATGTACTTAAATTTAATAAATTCCTTTTCCTTCTATGTGTCTACATTAAAACTAGTCCATTTTCAGAGAGTCGTCAAAAAAAACAAACGATATGGTCATTTTGCCAGCTCTGATTTCAGCAGTGAACCCCAGTTGAAAACCACTTTCCTGATTGTGCATGCCTCACCCAGCTTGAATGTCTAGTTAAGTGCTGTCTAATGGATTTTGTTGTTTTCTTTATTGTGCTTATTATAAATGCAGGTAATTACATATTTGCATTAGGAATATGCTGTTTCCAAAGCACATAGACTCCTTTTAAATAAGACTTAATCCTTTCCCAGATTTGAACAGGACCAATCAAGGGCTTCCCCCATAGCTTCTCCATCTGAAAAAAGGCCACTTTAAATACATGCATGTGGGAATGAAAACGCATATACATTGTGCGCGCGCGCACACACACACACACACACACACACACACACACACTTCTTCCACAGCCAGACTGAAGGGAGCTTCTTTATAATTCTTCTACTAAAAATAAATCTTGACTAATTTTAGTCACAAAATATTATATATGAGACTAATTAGCACAATGTCTGTATCCTAAGAGGTACCCAATAACTATTAGTTTTCCTTCACTGATAATCAGATATAAAAATAAATTTTAAATTTTCTCACTTCTTGAAATTTAATATACACCCAGTCTTTATGTTCAGCCTGACATTGTAAAAGCAGTCAATTTTACTTAAACTCACAAATCACACCTAAAAAAATCCCAGTAAGGTCTAATTATTGTGCTAATTACTGTTAGAAAAGGAGATGACTTTAAACAATAGAACCCCACCCATCTTTACCATTCTAAATTACCACTAGCGAAGAAAGACAAAAATCCAGACAGTCTAGTTGTCAGGGCTATCTCTACAATCTGTGGATTCTATCCTTAATCCCGTTTAAACTGTAGGTGAGATACCATCATAGCAGTTTTAGTGAACTGGTCCATTTTAGCAAATACAATCCTGAAAAAGTGATTTTTGTATTCTGATCAAAGGTTTTCTAAAAACCCAAACACCCAGAATAAGAGAAGCAAAATTAATAGGTACTTTTTTCTGTATCCCTATAGAAACAAATCAATCATATACATTTATTTTATAAACTAATTGCTACAAGCCTATAGCTTTATATACTCAAACTGTTCTTTATAAATCATATCTAAAAACATTTGCCCAATGTACCTTTACTTTTTTTTCCTTTTAATATCTTTATTAACATATAATGTATTATTAGCCCCAGGGGTACAGGTCTGTGAATCGTCAAGCACCTTTACTTTTAATTCAAACACACACACACACACACACACACACACACACACACACAGAAAAACTAGAAATAGAGTCACTTATAGAAAGCAGTTTTAACTATTAGGAAAAAAGACGTTTTGCAAAGCTCAATCAGTAAGCCACAAGTCCATTCTTTTGTTAGAATAATACAGTAAGACATAATGCTTGAATAACTGTAAGCAAACATACAAGTTGTGGGTATGCTAAAATAATAATATGCAGCAAAAGAATAAAATAAAAGAGTACTGCATTCTGCCCAAAATAAGCAAAAATATTTTTTCATAGAACAAAACCCAAATTAAAAATAATGTGTTAAGAAGTAACACATTTTGGTGACTGGTATATGCTAAATAAGTTTTAATATTATTGTATAAACAGGGTAATAATCTGGATCATGGAAGTATTACAGCTAATATTAACATGATTAATAAATAGTGTGTTCTATATAGCTTATTCTTTTCGTGAACCATATTTTCTACAGCACTTTTTTAAATAACCGAATTGGGTGGGGTAAGTTGAGTTTTAAAACCAACCATACAACTTTTCCTTAATAGCTGCTACTGTCAGTTCCAAAATGATGTGAGAAAGATTTACATGATGATTACAATGGGAATGTAGCAAACTGATTTCTCACTCTGGTTTCTCCCTTCTATATAGAAAAAAGAAAAAATTAGTATGTTCCTACAATCATACCTATTCTTTCTTCTCTGGAGTATTTATTTTAGTGGTAGCTAAATGTCTGTAGCATACTCATTATTTAGACAATCTCAATAATCAAGTTATCCACCCAGCTGTAAAGATTTACCACCTCTCACCTCTGGTAGAGCAGAAATGTTATTGTTCTCTAAATTTAGCTCTTCAAGGGCACTGCATTTTGCCAGTGATCTGGGTATTGCTGACAGTCTGTTGTATCTCAGACCAAGACGACTTAAACTGGACAGGTTTCCTGTGAATAAAAAAAAGGAATTTTTTTTAATCTGATAAACTTGTTAATTTCCTTTCTGACTTCAAATTACAACTGCTGGTATCAGGTTTAAATGTCACATGTAGTGTAGCCAACCTCTAGTTTTAAATTAAACAATATTACCAGCGTTAAAGCATTACAGATGTAGAGGCTTGTGTCACACTTAACTTTTGGAGACAAATATTGTGATGTCTTTTAACTTTCATCATCTTTTTTTTCTTTTTTTAAAGATTTTATTTATTTATTGAATACAGAGAGAGAGAGATCACAAGTAGGCAGAGAGGCAGGCAGAGAGAGAGGGGGAAGCAGGCTCCCCCCTGAGCAGACAGCCGGACCTGAGCCACCCAGGCTCAGGGTAAGCCACCCAGGCGCCCCAACTTTCACCATCTTTCTGAAGTTTGCTCATTTCTTTATTTTTGCTTTGATCATTTTTCAAAAAGTTGCTGAATAACTTTCTTTCTTAGATGTAACACCACTATAATACTTACAGAAAATATTTATTAGCTCATAGCATCAATTAAGCCTTGAAACCCTAGGAGGGCAGTCACTATGCCTCATAATCCTATCTAGTTATCATTCATCTGCATCTTTCCCTCTTGCTGAAGAAATCAGTGATCAAGTTATAAGAAATCACTATATCAAACTAATTTTTACTCTTTACATCTTCAAGGCAAAAATTTGTCATTGATAATGAAAATATTCTGATAATTAAATACCATAAGTATAGCCAGCTATAATGCAGAAAAACTTAGCAAACATTTCAATTCCTGTAGGAATTGTAATTGGAATTATTCCAGAGGTATACTATTTTAATTTACATTACTTTCTTATAATAGTGTCTGGAAACTGGGCCAAGAGTTTGCTGGTTCTGTTTAAGTAAGACTCCATTAGGCAGGCAGAAAACTGAATTTAAAGGCAACAATAAAAAACTATCACTTAGCAAAGACAAGTTAATTTTGTGTTTAAAATGCTTTCTAAACTGCAGCACCGGGGTGACTCAGTCAGTTAAGCGGCTGCCTTCGGCTCAGGTCATGATCCCAGGGTCCTGGGATCGAGCCCCACATCGGGCTCCCTCCTCAGTGGAGAGTCTGGTTCTCCCTCTTCCTCTGCCTGCCGCTCTGCCTACTTGGCGCTCGCTTGCTCTGTCAAATAAATAAAATCTTAAAGAAAAGAAAAAAAAATGCCTTCTTAATTAATGATGTTTCACTAAATCTTTCTAATGATACTCTGGTAAAATACGTCAATTTTGGAGTGGGGAAAAACAAGCTGAGGATTAGATGACTTTCCAAAGCCCCAAGAATTTAGAGATTAGAAGTAAGGGCAAGGACATTGTTATCACTGCACTATGACACTGAATATGATACAAATGTTTCTTAAAAGTTGGGTCTGCAGAAAATAAAATAATCTGCTTTGTGGTGAAGTATAATTATATTCATATTTGTAGTGGCAAAAAAAACCAGGGACAACCCATTTATTCAAGGATATATGAAGAATTATTTAAACTGGAGACACCACAGTGTCAAGAGACAAAGAATTCTGTGTTATCTATGTGACTCGGGGCAAGTTACTTAACTGAATCTATTTCCTCATCCATAAAGTGGGGATACCAAATACTTGATAGGGTTGTCTAAGGGTTAAATACAACATGTGTAAGATATGTAGCACAATGACTGGTACATACATTCAAAATATGACTTTATTCTGTAGTATATGTCTGTACTATATTTTATACCTACAAAATTATGTTACAAAAAATTTTAAGATGTGAAAGACTATGATGTTAAGTGAAAAAAGATAAGAAAAATTATGCATTTTGTATGATCTCAACAATGTAAAAAAAAACAAGTAGAAAAGAATGGAAAGAAAACATTCAAACTAAGTTATCTCTGCATGGTAGAATTATGGAAGATTAATTTTTTTTTTCTGTGAACTTGTCTTTTTCCTAATTTTCTACAGCTTTGTCATTTAAAAACATTTTGATAAAGAAAAAGTCTGTAATTATGAAGTCATTTTAATTTAAAAGACTGCAATATCTTTATACCATTCTCTTTTTGAATGAATATTTCACATCATGGAGACGTTTTATACTAACGTAGAGGTAAGAACATTCAGACATTTTACATTGTGAGGCTTATCTTCTCCATAAAGCGTAGATACGAGCTAAATTATGAAAAAACAGAGCATAGTGGTTTGAATTCTTAAACAAGCACCCTGATTAAAAAAAGAGATGAAAAAACACCTAAGAAGCAGTTTATAATAAGAGCCATATGAGAATAATAAGCACAGACTCTAGCGTAAGATAATGTGAAGAGACTTATCAAAGCCACCACCTAGTTAGTGGCAAAACTAGGATCAAACTCAGCTGGCTCCTTGCAACAAGTAATCATTCTTCAATATCCTCACGGACTGTGCTCCAGTTAGCTTGCCGCCTCTTGACACAGAAGCGTATGTTCACTCTTACTCCCAGGCTATCTGTCCATACTACTGTGCTGATGGAAAGCATTTTTACTCCATACTGAGTCCAACACACTTGTTCGTGAAGCCTTCCCTGGCCATTCTATCAAGATCTCATGGATCTCCCTATAAATCGGACTCATGACTGCATATTGTTTTCACTATAAAATGGCATCTAATTATACTTGTTTTTATGTTGTCAGTCATTTCATGGATTACTAACCTTCCCCCAACAGGCTGAAAACCCTTTAAGTAAGAAACCTTATATATTTCCATCTTCCCAGAGAATGTTTCAGTGCTAAGCCCACAGCAGGCATTCATTCATATTTTCTTAATTAACTGCAGAAGCTAAAGCATTTTCACTATTTATCCTTCTCTCCATTAGGAACAAAATGTTTAATCTTAAAATTGTATGAGGTGCTTTTCTTTGACCCGTTCTCATTTTAAAATAGGGAGGGAAGGAAGAAATCAGTATTTTATCATTTGCCTATCCCATGCCCACTATAGCTACAACAAGGCCCGTAATGGTGGACATTTTCCTACAAGCAGTGATAATATCTGATTTTAAAGAACTTCAAAAATCTTACGGTAAAATTTTAATTTGCTGTATGAAGTTCGAGACAGAAAAGGCAGTCAACCTTAGTGGGGAAAAAAAAAAACAGCAGAAGACAGACCATCCCTTTCTTTCCTTCATACCACGGCTTTCCCTATGGAAGAAGCCTGGTTCAATGTAAAATGGCTGAAGCATTTACCAAGGAGTCGCTGCAATCTGCCAGTTGAAGAGTAGCACAAAGACCCCATATTTTTGCTCGAACTGACATCTCTCATTCAGTCACTGTTTAGAGCAGAGCAGTACACAAATACAGTAGTTTAAACATGATTTATTCTCATTAAAACCTAAAAGCTTTCTCTAATAACAAAGATGAGTATAACAAATTCTAAATACATATCAACTCAAAAGCCCAAGAGAACCAGATTCCCGAAATTTCTCTTCGAAAAGCAAAATAACTCTTGAACTTCTCACTTTTAAAATCAGAATAGGTTTCTAGAATTTAAAAATTACATGAAAATAATGTAGTGAAACTGCCACATGACTTTATCTAGTACTAAAATTAGTGGTTAAACAAAAATAGTACCTCCATCTTTCCTAAACTTGTTCTTTCTTTTTCTCCCCCCCCGCCACACCTTTTTTTTTGGTGTGGTAGAAATTGAACTTTAAAAAATGCAACCTAGGAGAATATGCTATTCTGATGAGAAACTCACGTGTGCAAAGCTCTTATCACTTTACTGAGAGCACGGCACGTTAAGTCATCCACATTTTGCCCAAATCCATGACTCTCAACAAAATAAAAGAGGTGAAAAAAAAATTAAGGATAAAATACCCAAATTCTCTTGTGCAAGGAAAAAAGCTGGACATCAGAAGTGTGACATTTTCTTTCAGTGATTGGTTTTATCATAAACTAAACTGCAACCTAGAAATCAAGCCATGGCTTGCTTTAATGTTGAGCTATGTGACTAAGAAAGAAAATCAACATCGCTGAGCTTCTGTGTATAAATGTAGGCTGAGCTTCTGTGTATAAATGTAGGCTGATCACTGCCACTCACTGGCATTTAGCTTTTAAGTGCTTAACTTTGACTGTAAGTTGTTCTGTGCTCTGCTCTGACAGCTTGCTTTCTTATGCTGTCAGATTTTTAAATTACAGCAACATCAAATGGCTATGAATTAAAATTAGATGCTTTCAATTTCAGCAAATATAATCAGCATCTTTAGGTTAATTCAGTATAACTTGAGTGAAACTCAACTCAAATGATCTTAATTTTATTTTAACAAAGTAGCAAAAAAAAAAAAAAAATCAACAGAACAGGCACACAGCTCTAACAATGAAAATAATGTCAACGGTATTTTTTTTTTCCAGAAACACTGAACCAAAAAACTGAAAGCAAACTGAAAAGCAAGCAATATAAAAATTCTTAAATGTCAAAAACCCAAAAGAATGCCACCATTAAAAAGAAAACTAGTAAAGTTGTTATATGAATCTGAACTGTAATTACCTAAAACCTAATTACTTAAACTCTACTTGTTGATATAACCATAATTACTGTATCATTTCTTCAGAGCCCAGTGCAACAAAAGACCTCTGTGAATTGTTCTGTGCTCCAGCCTTGAAGGCAAGTTCTTGTTGCAGATTTCTCTATCTCATTTGAGAAGAAATAGAAAACCAAAGTTTTTCCTACTTGAGACCTCTAACCACCCCCCCCCACCTATAGTTTCATAAAATCACTACAGATCACAGGAGATTTAACATTCAAGTTCATAGTTTGAAACAAAATGACTGCTGTTATGAAGTTTAATATTTTTCTTTCGTTCATAAGGGACTCTTGAATTAGAAAATATTTAAATGAAAGAAAATATACGTTTTATTCAACAGGGTAGACTAACCGTTAAGTCAGAGAAACTATAAATATGTTTTGAAGTACTCTCTCACTTAACTACAACCAGCTGTCCCCTCCCTACTTCCTTCTGCCAC